TAGCTTTTAGCTAAACTAGTGAAACACGTATTCTGCGACTTTTTTTCCATTTTATTTTTATTTTATTTCTTTATTTTTGGCCACACTGTGCAGGCATGCAGGATCCTAGTTCCCAGACCAGGGATCCAACCCATGCCCCTTGCACTGGGAGCACAGATTCTTAACCACTGGACCACCAGAGAAGCCCCATGACATTTTAAATAAACATACATGAACAGTTCTAAAACAAAGGCAATTTAAAACTGTAACCTCAATTCTTCAAACAGATCATAACACTAAATGTTAGTCACAAAATATATAGGTGTCATCATATTTTTTTCATGTTCAGCTTATTTCTTACTCATCATATGCATGCTGTGCCGTGCTTAGCCGGTCAGTCATATCTGATTCTTTGCAACCCCATGGAATGTAACCCCCCAGGCTCCTCTGTCCATGAGATTCTCCAGGCATGATACCAGAGTGGGTTGCCATGCCCTCCTCCAGAGGATATTCCCTACCCAGGATCGAACCTGCATCTTTTATGTTTCCTACATTGGCAAGTGGGTTCTTTACCACTAGTGCCACCTGGGAAGCCCACAACTGACCATGAAGTCATATAAAGTCATAAACTCTGTTTCAGATTTGCTGCAGTTAAGACAAATCCCTTTTGATTTCTTGTTTTAAGAATCATAATTGCCAGTCAGCTATTGACCAATCTACAGGTAAGAGTTTTGGAAAGAAAAACTTGAATGAATGAATGAATCTTGCCATTTTGAGAAAATGATTATATAAAAAGATTGTTTTCCATTTTTTTTGGTTTGTTTTCCATTTTTGATATACAATGTTATTAGTGACATTGATTTCAGTTTCCTTCTTAATATTTTGATCATAATTTCTTGTGCTTCATTAAAGCTTAAAGGAAAGGGATCTGAGCATTCTCAGTACCTTTTCTGATCTTTATCTTCACGAGGGCCATATCCATGTAGTGAAATACTGAGCTGAAAATCTGGAGACCTGGGCTCTTGTCTAAGCTGTATGAGTGAGGGAGTGAAGTCGCTCAGTTGTGTCCGACTCTTTGCAACCCCGTGGACTGTAGCCCACCAGGCTCTTCCATCCATGGGATTCTCCAGGCAAGAATACTGGAGTGGGTTGCCATTTCCTTCTCCAAGGGATCGTCCCAACCCAGGGATCGAACCCGGGTCTCCCGCATTGCAGGCAGATGCTTTAATCTCTGAGCCACCAGGGAAGCTGTATACTGAGTGTGAATTTGGTTAATTCTCTTTTCTGGGTTTAGTCTCCTCATCTTTAAAAGTAGAAAGTGTGTTAGTTCTAGACTGTCATCCCAATGGTCCGTTTTAGCTCTAGTATCATCATTGTAAAACCTATTAACCAACATTTGTTGAGACAAGGCATTCTAGTTTATAGACATGTAGGAAAAATTGTGGATAATTTGGCCTTAGAGTACAAAATGAAGCAGGGCAAAGGCTAATAGAGTTTTCCCAAGAGAACACACTGGTCATAGCAAACACCCTCTTCCAACAACACAAGAGAAGACTCCACACATGGACATCACCAGATGGTCAACACCAAAACCAGATTGATTATATTCTTTGCAGCCAAAGATGGAGAAGCTCTATACAGTCAGCAAAAACAAGACCAGGAGCTGACTGTGGCTCAGATCATGAACTCCTTATTGCCAAATTCAGACTTAAATTGAAGAAAGTAGGGAAAACCACTAGACCATTCAGGTATGACCTAAATCAAATTCCTTATGACTATGCAGTGGAAGTGAGAAATAGATTAAGGGACTAGATCTGATAGACAGAGTGCCTGATGAACTATGGATGGAGGTTCGTGACACTGTACAGGAGACAGGGATCAAGACCATCCCCAAGAAAAAGAAATGCAAAAAGGCAAAATGATTGTCTGAGGAGCCCTTACAAATAGCTGTGAAAAGAGGAGAAGTGAAAAGCAAAGGAGAAAAGGAAAGATATTCCCATTTGAATGCAGAATTCCAAAGAATAGCAAGGAGAGATAAGAAAGCCTTCCTCAGCGATCAATGCAAAGAAATAGAAGAAAACAACAGGATGGGAAAGACTAGAGATCTCTTCAAGAAAACTAGAGATTCCAAGGGAACATTTCATGCAAAGATGGGCTCAATAAAGGACAGAAATGGTATGGACCTAACAGAAGCAGAAGATATTAAGAAGAGGTGGCAAGAATACACAGAAGAACTGTACAAAAAAGATCTTCATGACCCAGATAATCATGATGGTGTGATCACTCACCTAGAGCCAGACACACTGGAATGTGAAGTCAGGTGGGCCTTAGAAAGCATCACTACAAACAAAGCTAGTGAAGGTGATGGAATTCTAGTTGAGCTATTTCAAATCCTAAAAGATGATGCTGTGAAAGTGCTGCACTCAATATGCCAGAAAATTTGGAAAACTCAGCAGTGGCCACAGGACTGGAAAAGGTTGGTTTTCATTCCAGTCCCAAAGAGAGGCAATGCCAAAGAATGTTCAAACTACTGCACAATTGCACTCGTCTCACACACTAGTAGAGTAATGCTCAAAATTATCCAAGCCAGCCTTCAGCAATACGTGAACCAAGAACTTCCAGATGTTCAAGCTGGTTTTAGAAATGGCAGAGGAACCAGAGATCAAATTGCCAACATCATCCGGATCATCGAAAAAGCAAGAGACTTCCAGAAAAACATCTATTTCTGCTTTATTGACTATGCCAAAGCCTTTGACTGTGTGGATCACAATAAACTGTGGACAATTCTTCAAGAGATGAGAATACCAGACCACCTGACCCACCTCTTGAGAAACCTATATGCAGGTCAGGAAGCAACAGTTAGAACTGGACATGGAACAACAGACTGGTTCCAAATAGGTAAAGGAGTATGACAAGGCTGTATATTGTCACCCTGCTTATTTATATGCAGAGTACATCATGAGAAACACTGGGCTGGAAGAAGCACAAGCTGGAATCAAGATTGCCAGGAGAAATATCAATAACCTTAGATATGCAGATGACACCAACCTTATGGCAGAAAGTGAAGAGGAACTACAAAGCCTCTTGATGAAAGTGAAAGAGGAGAGTGAAAAAGTTGGCTTAAAGCTCAACATTCAGAAAACTAAGATCATGGCATCTGGTCCCATCACTTCATGGCAAATAGATGGGGGAACAGTGGAAGCAGTGTCAGACTTCACTTTTTTGGGCTCCAAAATCACTGCAGATGGTGATTGCAGCCATGAAATTAAAAGACGCTTACTCCTTGGAAGGAAAGTTATGACCAATCTAGATAGCATATTAAAAAGCAGAGACATTATTTTGTCAACAAAGGTCCATCTAGTCAGGGCTATGGTTTTTCCAGTAGTCATGTATCGATGTGAGAGTTGGACTGTGAAGAAAGCTGAGCATAGAAAAATTGATGCTTTTGAACTGTGGTGTTGGAGAAGACTCTTGAGAGTCCCTTGGACTGCAAGGAGATCCAACCAGTCCATCCTAAAGGAGATCAATCCTGGGTGTTCATTGGAAGCACTGATGCTGAAGCTGAAACTCTAATACTTTGGCCACCTCATGTGAAGAGTTGACTCATTGGAAAAGACCCTGATGCTGGGAGGGATTGGGGGCAGGAGGAGAAGGGGAGGACAGAGGATGAGATGGCTGGATGGCATCACCAACTCGATAGACATGAGTTTGAGTAAACCCCAGGAGTTGGTGATGGACAGGGAGGCCTGGTGTCCTGCGGTTCATGGGGTCGCAAAGAGTTGGACACGACTGAGCGACTGAACCGACTGACTGACTGAAACAGGGGCTTCCCAGGTGGCTCAGTGGTAAAGAATCCGCCTGCCAATGCAGAAGACTTTGGTTGGATTCCTGGGTCGGGAAGATCCCTGGAGAAGGAAATAGCAACCCACTGCGGCAAATTTGCCTGGTAAATCCCATGGACAGAAGAGCCTGGCGGACTGTAATCAATGGGGTAGCAAATCGTCTGACAGGACTGAAGAACTGGGGACGGAGACACGCAAACAGTGGTTTATACTCTGGGACAGTTTCAGCAGCTACTAAACACTAACTAGCCCTATGGCCCAAATCGGGTAGCATCCTGTGCTGTGGTTTGGGCCACTAGGACTTGAGACATGTAGGAGCAGAACAGGTCACCTGAGGTATTATTGGGTAGCAATTTCGGTACACTAAACTCTTGCGTGCGCTTCCCTTGTAGCTCACTCAGTAAACAGTCCGGCCGCAACGCAGGATTTGGTTCCATCCCTGGGTTGGGAAGATCCCCTGGAGAAGGAAATGGCAACCCACTTCAGTATTCTTGCCTGAAGAATCCCATGGACAGAAAAGCCTGGCAGGCTACAGTCTATGTGGTCGCAAGAGTCGGACACGACTGAGTGACTAGGCGCAGTGTAAACTCTTGCGTAATAAACTTAAAGTGAAAACAGAGTACCTAAGTCTCACACCGTATACATATTGTTAAAAAACATGAAAGAAAAACGATGTTAAACAAAATATAAACAAAATAAGTGAAAACTTCTCCGGAAACCACAACTCAATCCCTGTATTTTACCGACAGGGCTCGGGTGTTTGAATCTACCGTCCAGGCCAAGTGAAAAGTTTCTCTTCCACTCCCAAACATCGCTAAGGGGGAAGAGAAAACTGCCATAATGTATGTATACATTCAAATCAAGCCGAAAGAAACTCTCCTCGAGCCAGCGAGCGTCTTAACAGAGACTAACCCTTCGCGGCCTCCTCCAGCAACTCAAGCCCGCAAACGGACAGACTGCGCTCGCTGTGGCTAGGCAACCGTCCGAGCCCGCCCTGCCGTCTTAGCCCCGCCTCTCAAGACGCTTCCACCACCCTGCGCCTCGAGCCTTCTCCTCTCATTGGCCAGCTACAGGCCAGGGGTGGGCGGGGGAAATGCGTCAGAAAGTGGGCTCACTTCCGGCCTGGGAGCGCGCGGGTTGATTCGTCCTCCCTCAGCCGCGGGTGCTCGCAGCTCGGAAATGGCGGGTAAGTTCCCGGGAAAAGTTTACCAAGGGGAGGGGGCGGGCAGGTTTGGGAAAGAACACCGAGACGGAGGTGACAGTACCCGCCTGGAACTTTCGAGCTCTTGCCTGGGTTCTAGAAGGCCTGTTTCAGCCTGGGAGCGCGGAACTCTCAGCCCAGCTCTTGTTCCGCCGAGATTCGTGCCCCCGCCCCCAACTGCTCGGTGTTCTGCACCTTCTGCGGGCAACTCGGCCCCTAAGAGGGACCAAGAGCCCAGGAAAAAGCGTGGTGATTTGGTGTTGTAAGGTGCCAGGTGCCTGGACGCCTGTTTCTCTTCTCGTTCTCTTTGCCCACTGCTGCCCCAGCCTCTAGTCTGAGTCTGTTCCCGCCAGCTGATTTTAATGCTCAGACCCTCCTCTTCCAGGTCTTCCCTCCACCCTGTACTTCAACTTCTGAGCTAGCGCTGTGCTGCCTTGCCCTGCGCCAAGGCTCTCCTTTGAGTCTTGTTTGACTTCTTAGTAGTCCCCTTAATCTCTCACATTTCAGTAGTCCTAGGATCTATGTAGATTTCCTTTGAGAAAGAGGGACTAAACTTCTCTTTTAGGGGATGTCTAATATAATTCTGTGTTTATTCTATTCTGCTTTCTTTATTTAATCTCTTAAATTTACAGCTTTTAATAACTAATAATTGCCATTATTTTGTACGTGTATTAAGATTGTTTTGGTGTGGTAGATGCCTCCTCCCCCCCCCCCCCCGGTTGCGTATATTTTGAAGTGATGGACAGTTTCTTTTTATCTTTTCCCAGTGCCTTCCTAGTAATCTCAGTAGACTTTTATGGATGTGCTGGATAGACAGAGTATAGCATGAGCTCTACAGATGTTTAATGAAGACCTCTTCTACCAGATAGAGATTGTAGGATTTTGGGGTCCATTGGTACTGTCTTAAGAGGGGGGACCCGTGTATTGCACAGGGTGAACTGTTATAAGAATTCCCCCTAATTTCAAATCTCAGTCCCACCATTTAGTAATCAAGTGACCTTTAAGCAACCAAACTTCTTTCTAAGCCTGAGCTTTTGAATATGAAAGGGGGCTGATAAAGTATCTACTTGTAGAATTGTGAGGGTTAAACTTAATGTATGATTTGTTGTTTAGATTATACATAAATTCTTTGAGGTGGGTTCTGTTATCTCATTTTTATAGATAAGGTTTGAGGTAGGTTTTATTATACTCTTTTTATCCATTGGATCAGAGAAGCCAAGTAATGTGCTCTAGTTCATAGATGCAGTAAGCAAATGATGAAGCCTGGATTTGAATCCAGCAATTTTGACTCCAAACCGTTAATCTATACTGCTTCAAGTGTTCCCCATTTTCTGTGTACCTGTGTTGTAACCACTTACTGAAGTTTATGGCATGTCATTGTACCCTGTTTTTCATTTCTGCTCATGACTTTTTTACCTGAGTTTTCCCTAATTTTTATGATTATTTTGTCAGGAGATTCATTGCCATCTTTGCTTGAAAGTTTCTCTTGATAATGGTTTCTTCCATTGTTAATTATCATATACATTGATGGATAGCCACCTTGTAGTAAAACCATTTGATTATTCCAATAGCCTATGTCTGTGCACATGGTTAAAAAAGAAAATTTTCTTTCCTAATCGTGTCCTCATTCCTTCTGTTTTATACTAGAAATAGCAGTGTTTACTGGTTTCTTGTGTATCCTTTGTGAGATTATCTTTCTATGCATTATTAGTTGTTGGTTTTGAAATAGTTGATCTGAAAGTACTTTAGGTAGAGTTTTTCCAGTATTATGAATAAATTGCTATCTTGTAATTATTGAAGGATGTTCTCACCTGGATTCTTAGTGGAGCAGTAGCATCCTTTTTATATTTCTTTTTAAAAGTCTACTTAGGTATAAATCCTAGCAGGTAATTTATATTAATATTAAATATTTAGAAATGTCAGTAGTCTGTTACGTTAATTATAAATTATATGTTTACTCATTTATGAAAAGCCAGTCTGGTTCACAAGCCTCTATCTCAAAAGTGATGTTTATTCTGTTTTATAATGAGACAGTCATATACTCAGTACATTTATGTAGGAGTGTTTGGAAATCTATGATCTGTTATCATAGTTAAAGACTTACCTTTATTCCACTTCTAGTAAGAACCCTTTTTTTTTTTAGGTTTGATTAATTAAATCACTTCTAACCAGTCTTTTAAAAATCCTTTTTCTTAGGATTTGGTGCTATGGAGAAATTTTTGGTTGAATACAAGAGTGCAGTTGAGAAGAAACTGGCCGAGTACAAATGTAACACCAACACAGCAATTGAACTAAAATTAGGTATGTATGCCTTTTCTAAGTACTATTAGGAGTATGAAGTGGAATTGTGTGTAAGAGCAGTTGTTTATGGCATTTGTATGGCTTATTTTATTGTTTACTGCAATTTATGTTTAGTTTTCTATACTAATTGAGCACATCCAGATTTTATGAAGTCTTGATTTATGTCATGGAGTGGGTAGATGTTTGAGAGATGACAGAGTTTACATGTCAGAAGTTCAGTGTGGCAAAATAATGACAAGTAGAAATGGTCTTAACCTCTTAAAAACATTTACCTTTACCTTTTTGCTTATAAAAATAGAAAATAAGTGTTGGTGAGAATGTGGAAAGACACTCCTGGTGGGAACATAAAATGATGCAATTACTTTGGGAAACAGTTTGGCAGGATCTTAAAAAATAAACATATATTTTCTATATGACTGAACAGTTCAACTCCTAGACATCTACCCAAGAGAATTTAAAATGTTTGTCCACACAAAAACTTGTATGTGAATGTTCACAGGAGTATTATTCACAATAGCCAAAGGAAATAACGTAGATACCAACCAGCTGGTAAATGGTTAAACAAAGTGTGGTATATCCATGTGATGGGATACTATTTGACATTAAAAAGGAATGAAGGGCTGATACATGCTACAACATAGGTGAACCTCAAAAACATTCTAAAGTGAAAGAAACCACACCTACTGTATAGTATTTGTGTGAGTGTTCAGAAAAGGCAAATGCACAGAAATAGAAAGGGTGGTGGTTACCTGGGTCTGAGGGTGGCAACAGAGAATGACTGCAAATTAGATTTCTTTTGGGTAATGGCAGTATTTTAAAATTAGATTGTGGTAGTGATACACAAGTCTAAATTTACTAAAAATTTTAAAATTATACTCTTAAAACAATTGAGTTTATGGAATGTAAGTTTATAATTCAATAAGGCTGTTTAAAAAATAATTATGTGCTAATGAGGTCTGGTTTCGTCACTTCCATTCCTTAGATTTTTCATCTTTAAAATGGAATTAATGTTACTTGTAGTGAATTAAATATGAGGTTAAATATAAGTAAAGTGCTTGAAAAACTTGATTTAGACAGTCACAGTAAATGTTAGCTATAATTATTTAAAACAGTAGAGACATAATGAATACAGAGAAGGTGATAAAGAAAATGCTTATGTCCTGACACCTCACTAAAAAGATATTACTGATCAATTTTTTTTTTCTTGTACATACATGGTTTCTTTAAAACCAGGATCCTGTTGTAAGGCTGTTTTGTTATTTAGCTTAACAATATCTTGAATATCATTGTTTGTAACTATATAGATCTACCTCATTATTTTAAATTATGTAATTCAGGATGACTGTATCATAACTTACCTAAGTTATGCTACTTTTTTAAACTTATTCTCTATTGTGAGATTTGTTTCTCCTTTTTTGCTATTAAATGTGATTCTCCAGTAAATACCCTTGTGTATGTATGTACCCACTTGTGTGAGTGATCCGTAGAATGTGTGGCTAGAAGTTGAAATACTGGATCAGAATTTTTGAGTTGCAACACTATTAACATTTTGGGTTAGATAATTCTTAGGAAATGGCAGCCCATCCCAGGTGGCACTAGTGGTAAAGAACCCATCTGCCAGTGCAGGAGACATTAGAGACACGGGTTCTATCCCTGGGCCTGGAAGACCCCCTAGGGGAGGAAGTGGCAGCTGGCTCCAGTATTCTTGCCTGGAGAATCCCATGGACAGGAGCCTTGTGGGCTGCAGTCCAAAGAGTTGGACATGACTGAAGTGACTTAGCAGCAGCCAGTATTTTTGCCTGGGAAATCCCATGGACACCCCAGGTTACAGTCCATGAGGTCACAAGAGTCGGAACAACTTAGCAACTAAACAACAAAAGAATTCTTTGTTATTTTGTGCTTTGTAGGATGTTTAGCAGCACTCTTGGGCTGATAACTAGATGCCAGTAACATTCTCCTCCAGTTGTGACAACCAAAAATGTCTCTGACATCGCCATACCTCCTAAGGATGGTGTGTAACATTGTCTCTGTTTAAGGACCACTGTGCTAGATCAGAGGGCTACGGACATATTCTACTTTAGTAGCTGTCGTTAAATTGCCTTCCAGAAAAAGTACGTGTGCTTATACTGGTACAGTCTCACGTTTGAGATAGTCCTTTTACCTCTACTCTGGTCAGTGTTGCATATTATCATTTTTAAAAAAAGCAAAAACACCTTGCCCCTGTGATGTGTGAAAGGTAGCTTATTTCTGTGTGCAGTTGTGAGAAACACATAACTTAAAATTTACTATTTTTTAAAGTGTATAGTTCTGTAGTGTTTAGTGTACTCTCATTGTTGTGCAACTAGTCTCCAGAACTTTCTCATCTTGTAAAATTGAAACTATATCCATTATAGAAAGAACTCCTTATTTTCCCCCTCTCACTGGCCCCTTGCTAATACCTTTCTACTGTTTTAAAATTTGACTGCTAAAAAAAAAAAAATTTGACTGCTTTAGATACCTCATATAAATGCAGGCATACAGTATTTATTGTCTTGTGACTGGCTTATTTTTTTTTAGTGTAATACCCTTAAGATTCATCCATGTTGTAGCACTTGGCAGAAATTCCTTCCTTTTAAGACATGATAATATTACATTATATATATGTATGTATATATTATATAATGTAAATATTATAATATTCTTATATTTATTTTATATATAGTATATGTAATAACTATAAAATTATTATAGTATTTATAATAAATGTTTATATTATATACATTACATTATCTATATATAGAGAGACATATATATACACACAACATTTTTATTTATCCATTCATCCACTGATAGATACTTAAATTGCTTCCTCCTCTTGGCTATTTGAATAATGCTGCTGTGAATAGGGACGTGCAAATATTTTTTTCTCTTTAAAAAAAAATCCAGTTTCAAGTTCTTTTAGATATGTATCCAGAAGTGGGATTGCTGGATCATATAGTAATTATATTTTTTAATTCTTTGGGGAAACCCCATAATTTCCATAGTGGTTATCACAACTCCATTTTATATACCCACCAACAGTGCACAGAAGTTGCAGTTTCTCCACATCCTTGCCAACACTTACTGTTTAGTGAGGTTTTTCTTTTTCACTGTGTTTTTGACTGTTTTTTGATTTGATAATTAAAATTGATTTTTAATTCTAAGAGAAGTATATCCTTTATATTTAAAAGAACCAGCCCTCCTTTATGAGTTTTCATTATGTCTTATAAGAAGGGCCTTCCTGCTCTAAGATTATGAAAAGATTTATTGATTGTTTATTTTAATAATTAAAAAATTTTTTTCTTTTTAATTGAACCTTTGAATCTTTATCTTGATAAGGCATAGAGTAGGAATCCAGCTTTATACTTTTCCAGATGGTTTAGGCAGTTATCTGCCTGCCAGTTTGTTGTCTCTTAAACAATTAAAATTTCTTTTTTTAATCACACTAAAGTATCATATATATTCTTGGGTGTACTTTGAGGCCTTTTGTTCCCCCTGAGCCATTAGTATACTGTTACAATAAATATGATTAGTATATGGTGTGACTAGATCCCACTCATTACTCTTCAACTTTATCTAATGTTTATTCTTCTAATGAACATTTTATTTTACTAAGTTCCAAAGAGATGTTTTGTTAATTTTTTAAAATTGAGATCCTATTGAAATTTAAGTTTAATATGGGGAAAAGTAACATCCTTACATTATTGAGTCTTCCTTACTAATAGCAAGCGTATCTTTCTATTTATTAAGGCCTTTTTTATGTCTAACTGTAGAGTTTTAAATTTTATGTATAGATGATAAATATTTCTTATTGTTTATTCCTAGGTATTTCATCTATTTTACTGCTATTATAAAGTGGCATCTTCTCTTCCATTGTATTTTCTTTATGGTGTGTAGGAGAATGATGGACAGTAATTTTTAATGCATATATATATATATTTTATCACATCAAGATCCCGTTTACATAAATTCTACACATATTTGACATAACTAAGGTTGACTGGGTTATTTGGGCAATCTAATTCCTACTCTCAGTAGCAATAATTTTCTTCCCTCAAACCAACCTTTCTCTCTGTCTCCCTCTTTCCCGTCCCCTTTTTTTTGGAGAAACGTTTATTAGAACATACTGATAGACATTGTGCTAGACACGTGGGATAACTTTAACTCTTGACTGCATATCAGTAATTCCACTAAGGTTTATCCCAAGATTCTCCTCCATTAATAAGCTATTTTCACTTCGTGTGTGAGAATTGACAGGCATACTTTTCCCACAGGGATCCAATGCTCTGGGCTTAGGTTACTGTAGAAAAGAGTGAATCTTTTTTTATTACACCAAACAGAAACTCTATACCTGTTAAGCAGTAATTCCGCATTCACCTTTCCCTCCAGCTCCTGGTAACCTCTAATCTACTTTCTGTGTGTATGAATTACCCATTTTAGATATTTTGTTTAAGTGGAATCTTTATTCTTTTCTGTCTGGCTTATTTCACTTAGAATATTTTCACCTTGTTTACTCAGCAAATGTTACATGTTGTAACATGTGTCAGAACTTCATTCCTGTTAATGGCTGAATAGTATTCCACTGTATAACACATTTTGTTTATTTATTCATCTGTTGATGAACACTTGGCTCGTTTCCACCTTTTGGCAGTTGTGAATAATGCTGCTATGAGCATCAAAATATAATTGTGTGTTGTCCTTGTTTTCAGTTCTTTTGACTGTATAGCTAGGAACAGAATTGCTGGGTTATATAATAAATCTTTGTTTAGCTTTCTGAGGAACTGCCAAATTATTTTCCACAACAGATACACCATTTTACATTCTCACCAGCAACGTATGAGCTCCACTTTTACTACATTCTTGTAGGCACTTAATTATTTTTAAATATAGCCAATCCTAGTAGGTGTGAAATGATATCTTATTGCAGTTTTTATTTGCATTTGCCTAATGACTGATATTGAGCATCTTTTCATGAGCTTATTGTCACTGTGTATCTTTTTTGTAGAACTATCTGTTCAAATCTTTTGCCTATTTTTTAATTGAAGTGTTTTTCTTTAATATATTTTTTAAATGTATTTTAAAAACAGATAATCTTATTGGATTCTTCTGCTGTTTTTGGAGAGTGGTTTCAGCTGATTTTCTTAGGTTTTTACTGACATGCAGTCATATCTGAACATTTTAGTAAATTCACTTCCTTTTTTATAAATATGCCTCTTATTTTGTTCTCTTTCCAATTTGCATTTTCTAGCACTTTGAGAACACTGTTAAAAAATGATAGTGGTCATTCCTTTCACTTAAATTAATGAAGATGGTTATAGTAATTCTCCAATAAACCTCAAATCCTGGCTTGTTACATTGGAAAGTGTTTTTAAATTTTCAAAAGTTTTTATTCAGATATACATATTAGAGTATATTGAGGGCCATTTCAGTTTGCATGGAAATAATTTTGATAATGTTTTATATACAATGTAATTCATAAATGTTAAATAATTTTTTGATTTTTAGGTATTGAATCATCCTTTTATTTCAGTACTGCAGTATATTTTGTTTCTATGAGGACTGTTTTATATTATCTTCAAATATTTTTACATTGTTGTTTGTAGATGAACTTGGTCTGTGTTTCTCCTCTTTGCTTTCTTTTTAGGGGAGGTGAAAGTAATCTTTGTATGCATTTCTCATGGCCTTCCCACTTTACCGTTCCCACTCTGAATAGTTTTTAAAGCATTAGATATACTTGTTCCTTGAAAAAATTCACCTTAATGTCTATGAAGAGATTGTTCTTTTATGCTATTTAATGCTTTCTTTGCCTGAATACAATTTAGATTGCATTTTCAGGTTTTGTGCTTCATGATACATTTTAAAAATTTATTTATTTAGGTTGCTCTGGCTCTTCATTGCTGCATGTGGGCTTTGTCTAGTTGTGGCAAATGAGGGCTACTCCCTAGATGCAGTGCATGGGCTTCTCTTTGAGGTGACTTCTCTTGTTGCAGAGCACAGACCCTACGGCAGGTTTCAGTAGTTGCAGCACGAGGATTCAGTAGTTGTGGCACACCTGCTTAGTTGCCACTTGGCATGTGGAATCTTCATGGACCAGGGATTGAACCCATATCCCCTGCATTGGCAGGCAGATTCTTAACCACTGGACCACCAGGGAAGTCTTGCAGTGTCCCTTTTATTTTTTTTAATTTTATTTTATTATTATTATTTTTTGCAGTGTCACTTTTAATAGTGAAAAGCAAAAGAAAAAAACTAGGAACAACATAAACATCATCATCATCTTGTAGTCATAAAGAATGATGTGATGATATGAGCTTCATCAAACTCAGATTATTCTTGTTCTCAGAATGTTTCCTATAGCACTTTGTTTTTGTTTCCTTTGTACTAGCTTTTCTCATCAATGTGCCTCTTTTGATTTTGTTTTCTTTTACTCTTTGCATTGTGTATGAACATAACAGAAAAAGAAAAACTAAATTAGATGCCTCTGTCATACCTAGTTTTCTAATTCTTAGACTCAGTAGGGTTTTGATGCTGAAGCACTCAAAGTAACATTCTGATTTTTATTGTTTGTCGCATGAGAATCCAGTGTAAATCATATAATGGAGAAGTAACACTTTTAAGTAAAAAAAAAATATGTTGGCTATATCCTGGTTATAATGAGATTCTCAAAGTGGAAATACCTATCATCTTTAATATCTCTATATTTTTTATTCTTTTAAACAGTTCGTTTTCCTGAAGATCTTGAGAATGACATTAGAACTTTCTTTCCTGAGTATACCCATCAACTCTTTGGGGATGAGTAAGTAACTTAGTAAGATATTTGTCAAATTAGTAGGGAAAACACATTTTTTTTAAAATTTAGAAATCAGTTTATTTTCTTTCCTGTTATTTTTCATGTTTCTTTTAAAATATATTAGAATGGCATGTTTTATATTGAGACACCAATCTACTATATAATACCTATCATTTAGTGCTATACTATAGGTACAGTATCATATTTAATTGGCATAATCTTAGCAATTGTATCATCGTATGTAACATTAACATTAGTGGGGTTGGATAGTTGCCTAGGGACATATGAATGGCTGAAGTTCAGATTCAGTCAGTCAGACTGTAGAGTCCATATTCATAACTACTTATTTTGCACGATTTTGCTATACTGCTTCTAGAAAACACTTCCCCAACACTGGAAAACTCAAGTTTTTTTTCTATGAGAAATAAATAAGCAATTGAGAGAAACTTATTTTCAGAAGCAAGTTTGAAGATATGTCCTGGGATGTTCAGCACAATTTTTAAAATTTCTAATCCCTTCATTACATTATTAGAATAGTCCATTACCTATTGATTTTGAAGAAAATATCAACTTTCCAGTAAGTTTCAAGAATAATATTCTGTATATCCTTTACATACATCAGTTATTAACATTTAGCTATATTAGCTTTAATCATTCTCATACATATATTGATAGATTGTTGTTGAACCATTTGAGAGTAGGTTGCAGATATAAGTAGGTTGCAGGAGTAAGGAGTTCTCTTACTCCTAAACTCTTTAGTATGTATTTTCTAAAAAGAAGGACAGTATTGTGGTAAAATTACCCAAACTCAGGAAATCTAACATTGATATATTTTCTAAAATATAATCCACATTTCAAACTTTGCCAATTGATTCCCAGTAATTCTTTTGTGTGTATTCAATAAATTCAGTAATTCCTCATCCTTGATCTAGTATAGAATCATGTATTGCTTTACTCTTTAGTCCTTTTAGACTGGAACAGTTCCACAGACTTTATTTTCCATGTCATTATTTTTGTAGAGAATAGGGCTAGTTTTGTAAACCTTCATTTTGGACAAGTTTGATTGTTTCTTCATGATTAAATTCAGATAATGCATATATTTATAGTAGCGCAGCAGAAGTTGTATCTGTCCTTCTCAATGTGTCATACCAGAATGTCCGTGATAATCAGATTGTCCCATTGTTGGTTAACTTGGGTCGTTAAGTTTAAGTTTGGAGGTATCTGCAAGGTTTCTCCATTGTAGGGTTTTTTCTTTGTTATTTATATGTAACCTGTGAGGAGATACTCTTGAGAGTGAAAATACCCTGTTTCCCATCAAACTTTCATTCAGTAGTTTTAAGTCTGTTAATAATTGTTAGTATTTTACTATGATTGTAAAAGGGCGATTTTCTAACGCTGCCACACTTTCAACAGTTATTAGTTTGCATTCTGCTGTAAAAGAGTGTCTCTTCTTCCCGTTATGTATTTTTGTTTATATCAGAATAGACTCAGGATTTTTTAACTTAGTGCATTATTGTCTGTTACTGTTTTTAATGTTGATGCTCAGATTATCCCAGATTCAACAAGTGGCTCCTCTTTCAAACTGGCTTTTTGAGTCCTTTTGTTATATCATCATCATTTTGAGGACAGTTTACTTTGTGATACAATCAACTGTTGCACATTCACCTTGTACTTTACTAGTTCTGCAAAACAAATTGGCCATATCCTCAAGGAACCATGGATTTTTTTCCTTAGTAGGAAAGGGTGTTTAGACATAGTTGACATTTAAAATATTCTTCTATATTACCCTTTTCCCTATGCATTATTTCAGCATTTTGGACATTTATTTAATATATTTTTAAATTGACAAATGTCTCTTCATGGAACAAGTTTCTTAAGAATTTCTTGTGAATATATCAGATTAGCTATTTTATGTACTTTTAAGTATTAATAACTGCCAAAATTTGAGCATATTTTAAACAGGTTTTATTACAGCATAAAAATAAGAATGCTTTCTTTTGGATCTCTATCTTTAAGGAGTGTTTTGTCTTACTCTGTTCCTCTTACTGCTACTTGAAATCTCTTCCTAAGGTAATATCTTAGTGAGTAGGATCTAGTTTCACAAGTACTGCTTCTTAGTGGCATTTTGCACACTCACTTTGCACATCATTAAAAGTGGTGTGCTTGCACACCCCTCTAAGGTAGATGGAAGAGAGTCACATAATCATGATAACTCTGTATCTTGGGAACCATTACACTGATCTTAATCCTAGTTTCATTGCCACTGTTTTCTGCTACACATAATTTTCAGAGTCCTGGAATGGACACTTCTTGTATTTTGTTTTGGTAACCTAGACAGAAATCTGGAAATGACACTGTTTCTTTCTAGCGTTCTTTCAGAATTCATCTTTTAAAAAACCCCTTTATCATACAATAAACTTTTTAAAGTGTACACTTCCGTGGGTTTTAGCATATTGAAAGTTGCATAATCATCACCACAACCAGTTTTGGAACATTTTCATCATTTCCACCAAAATTCCCATTGTGACCAGTTAGCAGTGGCTCCCTCTTTCCCATACCCTCCCTAGCCCTGGATAGTCACTAATCTATTTTCTGTTTTCATAGATTTACCTATTCTGGATTTTCTAGGGGGGCTATGCCATGTACTTGGTGGAATATTTGTTCCCGACACAGGGATTGAACCTGGGTCATGGCAGTGAAGGTGCTGAGTCTTAACCACTGGACCACCAGGGAACTTGCCTGGCTATTTTAGAATTCTCTTTTAGGAAGACTTTTTTTTTTTTTTTTAAGGAAATAGGCATAGATGGATAGCAGGGAGCAAGGTTGGGAAAATAGCAGGAGCTCCCCATGTGCTTTCTGAGTTGGTAAGTGTGGTGTAATCAGGTGCTACCACTTACCACTTTCAGCAGCTCTGGATGTTGATGTTGGACATGCAAGGGGTAAGTTGGAAGAACTGGGCTCTATAGCTCCATCTTAACTGCTTGCCTAACTAGGAATCAGTATAACATTACTTGTCTCTGATATGATATACCTCATAATAGTAGCAAGAGTAAAAGCAGCAACAGTAGCTGTAGTACACTTATACAATGTACCAGTGAATGTTATGAACAATTTACATGTATTGACTTGTTTATATAACCCATATAACATCCCTAAGGTAGGTGTTGTTATACTGTTACTTTATAAACTCAGACAGCTGAGGCACAGTTTCATTACAGTATGTTTTTTTTTGTTGTTGTTTTTAGTAAGTGTAGTTTAAAATTTTGAAACTACCCATGAAGTTAAACCTGTTTCTGTGTAGAGTTAATACTTTGTAATGACTTTGTTCATTTTTGGGTCTTAGATTACTGCTTTTTTTCCCCTTTCAGTGAAACTGCTTTTGGTTACAAGGGTCTGAAGATCTTGTTATATTATATTGCTGGTAGCCTATCAACAATGTTCCGTGTTGAATATGCATCTAAAGTTGATGAGAACTTTGACTGTGTAGAGGTAAGAACAGAAATAAGTTTATTTTTAACTGTTTCCTAATTGAGTATAAAACAGATTATAAAATGTTAAAGGTTTGAGGGAGGAGAGAATCTTTATATTACAGCTTTAAAACCACATATTTAACATTTAATTATGGAGGTGACTATCTGCCTGTCATTCCAGTTAAACCTGTGATCGTGATCCTTAGCCTTTTCCATAAAAATCTTCACTTTTTTGATCAGAGATTTATTTTATTTACCAACTTTAGGTTTTTTATTAGTTTCTGTTGTTTTAAGCATACATTCATGTGAAAAGGAGAACTTGTAAGAAATGAACTTGGTTATTGAGCTGAGGAGTTTTATGAACAAAGTATTGAAGCTGTGGCCTGCTTTCTTGCCACTTAAAGTATAAGAAGAAAGAGAGAAATTGAGGGAAGAACTGTTAAGTAAAAAAGATCTGGGACTTGATTTGGGAGATTCAGCCTGTTCTGAAGACACTGAATTTAGAAAATTCATTGGTGGGGAAGTGTGCTCTGGGGAGAAAGCCAATAGTAATCTTGGCTAAATAATCTTGTTTTGCTGAATAGACAGGCGTGGCTCATTGATCTCTTCAGTAATCTCAACAACGCCAAAAATAGGGATTGAATTCTGTGATATGATTTCAGGGAGCACCTGTGGAGGACCCTCTTGTCTATTGGCATGAACTTTCATGGCATACACACATGACCCATAAAGTTTCCAGAGTGTTATATCAGCAGAAATACAGCCAGTTTGGACTGATCGAATACGGGAAGGCTAATGGACTTCTAAAATCCAATAGGCAAGAAAGAGGTTGATAACACTATTCAGCTGCAAACATGTGCTACCTTTCAAGAAAAAGGATGAATGATTTTGAAGGAGGAGCTTCGGGCTCAGAGGGTAGTGTCATAGACCACAGTATTCCTAAGTGATGAAATTTGAGGCTCTCCAGGTGGCTAAGCAGTAGAGAGTCCACCTGCCAATGTAGGAGACGTGGGTTTGATCCCTGGGTCAGGAAGATCCCCTGGAGAAAGGAATGGCAACCCACTCCAGTATTCTTGCCTGGGAAATCCCATGGACAGAAGAGCCTGGCAGACTACAGTCCATGGGGTTGCAAAGAATCGGACATGACTTAGAGACTATACAACAAGAATGGAATATGACCTACTGGGTTTTGAAATCATTTGGTGACTTATTTCTTCTACCATTTTCTCCCTTTTGGAATGACAAAGTCTGTAACTTTTATCCTATGCTTGTCCTGCCTTTGTTCTTTGGAAATGATAACTTGTTTTCTAGTTTCACAGGTGGGAAGGAAATCTGCCCCATGAGGTATCATACCCATAGTCTCACCTGTACCTTATTTGGATAAGATAGATGATGAGATTTTAGATTTCAGTTGATGTTGGAATGGTTGAAACTTTGGTGGATGTTGGGGAGGGGGTGTCTTTGGCATGTTTGGATGGACATGAATCTAAGGGACCTTTAAAAAATTGTATATTTTAGAGTTCTGTTCCTAGAGATTCCTATTTAAAGATATTGAAGCAAACATTTTCAAAATTTTAACTAAGTTTAAATTCCTGACGTAAGTCTTTTCCCAGCCTCATGCTCCACTCTTTTATTGTTAAAACCTTCTCTCATTACAGGGATTGGTTGATTTTCCCCCTTTTTATTATTTTTTTGTTTGTTTCATTTTATTGTAAGGGACTTGTCCAAAGTCACACAACTAGTAAATAATCTGTATTGCACATGGGCGAGAATCACTTAATTGTAGTATGCATAATATATAGTAATATCCTTCTCAAAGATGTTAGAACTATTTATGACCTGTTCTAAATGGGCCTGGGCTTTTGTGCTTGTTAGGTTTTATTTCTGTTTTGCACAGTGTGTATTTTATTTATTTTTGCTTGCTCCCATACTTTTATGCTATTAGCTCTCAGTTTACTGCTAGAGAGACTTCTCTCTTGCAAGCAGTCCCTTTATGGGTAAAAATTCTGTATTAGTAAGCTTAAAGGAATGGAAGTATGAATGATATATAGCATAAAAGAAATCTGAAATAGTCTCTTATGTCCATTATTCAACTTCAGTGTCAGAAATATTCTCAGCACTAACTTTTTTTGATTCTCATTTGCCAGCCCTATTTGAGATGACTAAGCTTGTTAGATAAATATATGTAACTTTCATTTAATATTTGTTTTTTTCAATGGTTTGTGTCCCTTAGGTGTTTTTGAAAATTTGCAGATATAAAAATGACTCATTGAGTAATACTGTAGTTGTGATGATTTGATACTTGAAAAGATTTAATCTTAGATAAACTAGCATGTAACGGAGTTTACTAAAATGGATAATATTTATAATAAAATATTTGTTAAATTTTCAAGCCCAGATACTCTTTAAAAATTGTATTTTTTTTTTCCTTTGTGTTGTATAAAATTCAGTGTTGTTTGAGGGGGTTGCTGGTTTTTTGTGTTTTTTTTAAAGTTCTAGCTGGTAGTGCTGAGTGATTTCTTCTGAAGGAACTATTAGTTATTGATAAATCATTCAAATATTATGTGCAGTGAAAATAGCTGTGTATTTGCATTGACTTCTAATTGTTCCATTCTTGAAAACGAGGTTTCTCCATTTAGAAGTACTGTGTTAGGAGTAAGGAATCAGTCTTTTATTATGTCTTTTTGTAGGATTATTTATTTGCTTCATTGTCAGAGATCATTTATTTAAATTACATGTTCAAGCAGAGACCTCTTTTTCCCCTTATAAAAAAAGAACGGGGCAGCAGATGTGCAGGGAACGGGCTTGGCTCTTCCCCATTTGCGATGAGAATTCGTTTCACAGGGTTATAATGGCAAATAAAGCAAAGTCACTGTTCTTATGACTCGTTCTTGCCAAGAGGAGCAGTCAACAAATAGATATTAAATAAGCAAATTAATATGTATGAAGAAACGTTTTGCTGGTTTCTGAATGAAGAGTAGCCAGTCATGTAGTTATCTGAAGGGATCAGCCTATGCAGAGTCCCTGAAATGAGAACATTCTTGGCATTTTCGTTGTCCTGAAAGATCACTGTTGTTAAATTGTGGTGATGAGAGAAGAAGGGTAGGAGAGAGTTGAAGAGGGTTGGCAAGACTCAGTCATATGGAATCAGAGTAGCTGAAGCCCTTGGAAAGTTTTAAGTGGGGGGGGCGGGGGGTTATGTGATAGTGTTTATATTGTTGAAAGATGATTCTGCCTGCTGTGCAGAGAACCCACTGTAGAGAGCAAGAGAGAAGAGAGACCAGAACAGTGCAGTGTCATGGGCAGCACTGCATTCACCTGCTTGAGGATACTTCTTTGGTTGGTATTCAGTCTCTGTGCCTGACTCTTTGTGACCCCCGTGGATGCAGCACTCCAGGCTCCTCTGTCCTTCACTGTCTCCAGGAGTTTGCTCAGATTCATGTCCATTGAGTCGGTGATGCTATCTAACCGTCTCATCCTCTGCTGCCCCTTTCCTCTTTTGCTTTCAATCTTTCCCAGCATCAGCATTCTTTCCAGTGAGTCACCTCTTCAGAGGTAGAGTCAGTAGCATCTGTTACTGAGTTAAATGTGATTGATGAGGGAAAGAGGAATGAGGAGGATGCCACTGCTTCAGTGGTAGTGGTACTATTCCCTGAGATCGGGAAGATTGGAGAAGTAGATTTAAGTGGAAAACACACAAGATTTTTGTTTTTAGATATATAAGGTTTGAGACCATTATATAATATGTCAATAATTGAGTTTATGCATACTATGCTTTGTAGTATTATTTTTGCATGTGAAAAATATACCCTTTGAGATGGTCAGAAACGAGCACATCTGCTTGGAAGTTATTTGCATTAAAATTTTTCCATTATATTAATCTTTCTTTTTTTTTATATTAATCTTTCATCATCCATTCTTTTTCTTTTGCAAACTCTCCAGCAGCATCTAAATTTTTTAGTCACAATTAAGATGTTTGTAAAACATCTCCATAGCTATCATCTTTAAAGATAATGTAATTATTTTGAATTTTGCAATATAATAAACTTGATTATTCAGACACCGATGGTTTGTTCATTTAATGGTTTTGCTTTTATCAGTACCTCCAGCCCTCTCTTAAGGTAATTTAATTGATTTTTAGTTGAAGAATATGTAACAAAGATTGTTCAGTCTTGCCGATTGCTGACATTTTAGGGAAGGGTTTGTTGGAGAAAGTTGAAATACTTGGATAAAGTTTGTATTATCTGTGAGTTTCAGTCATCTATTTTATCCTTGTCTCTCTTTAATTTGGATTTCAATTTGAGAGTAGATAAGAGCGAATTTCTTTAATCTTCAGGATTCCTTGGGGCTTTTTTAATAGAAAAATCTGTGTATGTATAAAAATTTAATCTTAAGAAAGTGAAAAAAATACTTTGGTAGACTAACTAATAATACTTCCTAGTGTATTCCACTGCATTCCTTTTTTAATAATGGTGACAGTATTCTTTTTTTTTTTCCCATTTATTTTTATTAGTTGGAGGCTAATTACTTTACATCATTGCAGTGGTTTTTGTCATACATTGAAATGAATTAGCCATGGATTTACATGTATTCCCCATCCCGGTCCCCCTCTCACCTCCCTCTCCCCCCGATCCCTCTGGGTCTTCCCAGTGCACCAGGCCTGAGCACTTGTCTCATGCACCCAACCTGGGCTGGTGATCTGTTTCACCCTAGATAATATACATGTTTCGATGCTGTTCTCTTGAAACATCCCACCCTCGCCTTCTCCCAGAGTCCACAAGTCTGTTCTATACATCTGAGTCTCTTTTTCTGTTTTGCATATAGGGTTATCGTTACCATCTTTCTAAATTCCATATATATGTGTTAGTATACTGTAATGGTCTTTATCTTTCTGGCTTACTTCACTCTGTATAATGGGCTCCAGTTTCATCCATCTCATTAGAACTGATTCAAATGAATTCTTTTTAATGGCTGAGTAATATTCCATGGTGTATATGTACCACAGCTTCCTCATCCATT